AAAGCTAGAGGCTATCGCAGAGGGCAAGTGTGGAGGAGGAGGGACTATGAGAGGAGAGGAGGTAGTGGGCGGCAGCTGAAGCTGCTGGCACACGGCGCAACTGGAGCAACTGGCACACGGGCAACTGGAGCAACTGGCACACTGGCAACTGGAGCAACTGGCACACGGGCTACTGGAGTAACTGGCTCCGCGGCTAACTCTGAGCGGCAGGAGCAACGGACTCACGGGCGACTGGAGCAACAGGCTCACGGGCGACTGGTGCAACGGGCTCACGGGCGACTGGCGCAACGGTCTCACGGGCGACTGGAGCTGCGGGCTTCACGGCGGCCACCCCCCTTCAACCTCCCCAAACTATACCACCCCCCTTTCACACACCCCCTGCTGCACCCCTAGGTTCACTCACACACGCCTCCCCCTTAGTACCACTCCGACAGCTCCCACAGACCAACACCCCTAGCACCACTCCGTCAGCTCCCACACACCCACCCCCCTCAGCGGCAGCTGCAGCAGTGGGAGACGGAGTAGGAGGAGGAGCAGGGGATGCCACACACCCGCCACCCCCTACTCGCCACCCCCAAACCCCAACACCGGGCAGGGCAGGATGGCGGGTAGGGAGGTTACGAGGGGGGGGGGGGGCAGGGCCACGACGAAGACGGGAGGGTCCGACTCGCGGCCCCCCAGGGCGCCACAACAGGCGGCAGAAAAGGCGACGCACGCGGCCCCCTCAGGTCGCCTCGACAGGCGACGGGAAGAGGGCCTGGGCGGGGCCGCGACGGGGCCGCCACGAGGCCGCGACAGGCGTTGGGGCAGGGCCGGGGCGGGGCCGCGACGGGGCCGCGACGGGGGACGGGGCAGGGCCGGGGCGGGGCCGCGACGGGGCCGCGACGGGGCCGCGACAGAGCCGCGGCGGGCGACGGGGCAGGGCCGGGGCAGCGCCGCGACAGGGCCGCGACGGGGCGGCGTCGGGCGACGGGCAGGGCCGCGACAAGGGGCCGCGACGGGGGGCCGCGACGGGGGGCCGCGACGGGAGGGCCGCGACGGGGGGCCGCGATGGGGGGTCGCGACGGGGGGGCGCGACGGGGGGCCGCGACGGGGGGCCGCGACGGGGGGCCGCGACGGGGGGCCGCGACGGGGGACGGGGCAGGGCCGGGGCGGGGCCGCGACGGGGCAGGGCCGGGGCGAGGCACCGCCGCGCGCCACGGGGTGCCCGACGGTCAGACAACCGCCGCGCGCCACGGGCGCGCGGCGGGAAGAAAAAAGGGCCGCGCGCCATGGGCGCGCGGCAGGCAGGCGCGCGCTCGAGGCGCGCGTCAGGCAGAGTAGCAGCAGCGGAAGTATAGGGTGGGCCCATCCACAGGATCGACCCGTGAGGGTCGACCTGCTCTGAAACCATGTGAAGAAAGTAGTAGAAAGTTAGAAACAGAAAAGAGGGGTTTCACTACCAAGCAGTTGAGTACATATAGCAAACCCTAAATTGGGCTGTACTCACTATTGAGTACCCCACTGCAGGATAAACAAACATAACATTCTGACAGCTACACCACGGTGTTTCCCTTGCAGTGCAAGGGCGATGTCCGTCTTGTCCTGATCCCTTGGATCCGCGCTGTTCGTCGCCAGCCGAGCGCACGGTTCCGTCAGGACCTCCAAATCCGTCTGCACTCTAACCGTAGAGGTGAGTTTTCCTCTAGTCTCCTTCTGTCATGAGGAGGGCATCACCTAGTCGTTCACGCTTCCGGATTCTCCACAGCAAAATGGGATCGCTGAACGCCGCATTGGCTTGGTCATGGAGGTTGCTCGCACCTCCATGATCCATGCGGCTTTTCCCCATTTTGTGGCCGTTTGCGGTCCGATACGCTGCGCATCCGCTCAGCCTCTGGCCTCGTGTCTCCGAGCCAAAGACTTCGCCTACACTGCGTTTGACGGGGGAGGTTGGCAATGCATCGGCGTTTTGGGTCTGGGGTTTCCTTGCCCTTTTCCGCGATACCACTGCGGGGAAGCTCTCATCTCGCACCGTTCGCTGCGTCTTCCTTGGCTTTACCACTGACGCATCGGGCTGACACGTGTCGCATCCTGTCCTCCCCCACGTGTCTTCTCCTATCCCCCCCCCCCCCCCCCCCCCCCCCCCCCCCCCGCCCCTCTTCCTGGATCCAGATTACCCCCCGGTAGACCCCCACACCCCCTCGCGTCCTGCTCCCTCAGGTGTGTCTCAGGTCACACCACCCCCCTTGGTTAAGCCTTTAGAGGTCTCCTCTGGCCCGGCTAAGGGGGGTTGACCCTGCTGCTGACGACACTGCGGCATCTTGCCGCTCCCCACGCTTGGATACTTCTCCTGGCTTTCCACCTCGGCTGTCTTCGCCGCCTCTGCAGCCTGTCGATGTGGACTCCGGTGCTGGTGGAGGTGGTGGTGTTGTAGGTGTGGGCTCTGATGGTGCTGACGCTGGAGGTGCTGGTTCTCGGGGTGCTGAGCCTGGGGGTACTGAGCCTGGAGGTGTTGCGCCTGGGGGTGGGCAGCAGCTGCCGTCACGTCCGCAGGAGAGTCTCTCGCCGCAGCAGCTGCGTGAGTGGGTAGCCGGGCGACGTGCTGACTCTGGAGGTGCTGGGCCTGGGGGTGGACAGCAGCTGCCTCCGCAGGAGACTCTCTCGCCGCCGCAGCTGCATGAGTGGGTAGTTGGATGCCGTGCTGACTCTAGAGGTGCTGGTGTTGGGGGTGCTGAGCATGGGGTTCCTGACACTGGTGCTGGAGGTACTCGTGCTGGAGGTGCTGGAGCTGGAGGCACTGGAGATGGAGGTACTGGAGCTGGAGGTACTAGAGCTGGAGGTACTCGATCTAGAGGCACTGGAGCTGGAGCTAGAGGTACTGGAGGCACTGGAGCTGGAGGAATTGGAGGTACTGGAGCTGGAGGTACTGGAGGTACTGGAGCTGGAGGTACTGGAGGTGCTGGAGCTGGGGGTGCTATGCAGCCACTGCAGCAGCGACCCTATTTTTTCACCACCGCCACCGTCGCTGCTACCACCACCTGGCTCGGTGATCAGTCTTCCTTCGTCTACTGGCACTACTCCTCCTCTACTTTGTCCACCACCTGACCCGTCTCAACCACAATTACAGCCTGACTCCCCTCTGCCTGCTCCTTCTCCTAACACTGAGAAGACAAACTCCCTGACAGGGCGTCATGAGCCTGCGTCTCATCGTGCCTCGCCTGTTTGCGCTGTTCGTCGTGCTCATCGTGTTCGTTCTCTGCCTGTCCCCGGCACGCACACTATGGCACTTCGTCCTTCCTCTGTTCCACAGCGTGTTGCCCTGCCGTCTCCTCCTGCGTCCTCTCTTCCTGTCGTTCTGGACCCAGAGTCTGACCATGCTCGTACTGCTAGTTCAACTGTCACTCGTTTCTGGCCACACTTGTCATTGACCCTACTTTTGAGTCTGCTGCTGCGTTTGCTTTTGTCACTGAGCTTGTTGACTTTGCTGGTGCCTGCCGTCTTCACTATATCTGAGTCTTGTTTCTGAGTCTGATTGCCATTCGTCCGCCAGGGGTGAGCTTGCCCTTGGCTGTGACGTCCTTGAGGACAGGCAGTTTAAGCTTGATTGCTTTGCGGTTGTTGTACCTCATCTCGCTGTCGTGTTGCTTGCCCCTGAGGGAGACCCAGATGCACCAGACATCCCGACCCCGCGCTCTTACGCGGAGGCAATCTCGGGTCAGTACTCCTGTCAATGGCAGACAGCCATGGACGCAGAGATGGCATCCTGGAAATCCACAGGCACCTACATCGACCCAGTTCCCCCTCCAGGGGTGAACATAGTCGATGGCATGTAGATTTTCAGGGTGAAGCGACCGCCGGATTATCCGCCTGTCTTCAAGGCGCTTCACGTTGCACGAGGCTTCATACAGCGGCAGAGGGTCGACTTCTTCCATACCTTCTCCCCCACCCCGAAGATGACCACTCTTCGGGTGTTACTGCACGTTGCAGCACAGCGTGACTACGAGTTGTACTTCCTCGACTTCTCCACAGCTTTCTTGCAGGGCAGCGTTCACGAGGAGATATGGCTGCGCCCACCTTGGATGTTCAGAGCTGTACTCAAGGCTACCAATAGTGAGTCAAGCCAACCATGAGTCAGCTTGTCTTCCGACTTGCACCCTCTTGCAAGCTGCTTCCAGGAAGACCACACTTCTCAAAAGGAGGGTGGTAGAGTCCCACTTGACCACCTGTACTTCTTGTCTCATTCTCTGTCCCTGCACCATTGGCATGACAACAATGAAAGGGTGGCAAGGGAAATGCTGCCAACAGTGCACCATGACTACGGAACAGTAACTTTCGACAGCTGTCACGTGCTGCTCCGATGCTGGGTTGTCCCTCGGTGAACACCTGGACAACACGGCGAAAGACTGCCACACCGATTTTCAGACCAATCAGAGCTTGGTAGATGAGTCAGCAGCCGAAATGGTGAACTCGGGTGTTACCAAAAAAGAGTAACACACACTTCCGGGATGCCATAGGTCTTGAAACTAAAAATGTTGCCATGCCTTGTAAACTGCTTCAAAAATTCTGAAACTTTGACGGTGTGAAGAACACATGTTGAATCACCTCCCCACAAAATTCCAGAAGCTGAGCAGGCTTGTAGGTTGAATGGGAGTGCGATGACTGTGCCACTATAGTGCTTTGGCACAACAGGTTCAGAGGGGGGAGGATGGATGAGCAGATAATACCGAGTGAGGCACGAGGAGAGGTGAGGTGAGGAGAGGAAAGGAGAGGAGAGACAAGGAGAGGAGAGTAGAGAACAGGTGAGGAGAGGAGGGGAAAGGAGATGAAAGGAGAGAGGGGAGAGACGAAGAGAGGAGAGGAGAGGCGAGGCAAAGAGAGGAGCACACAGGAGACTAGAGGACTCAAGGTTCAGAGGTGCAACAAGGTACCAGCTCCACACACTCATAGCCGTGGGCACTCACAGCCGTGGGCACTCACAGCCGTGGGCACTCACAGCCGTGGGCACTCACAGCCCTGGGCACTCACAGCCCTGGGCACTCACTGGTGGCCTTACTGCAGGAGGCGGAGCCGAGGGTGCCCCAATCAGAGGAGGAGACGCAGCCCCTGAGGCAGGCGACGGTGTAGGGCGCGGTGCTGCTGGCATGGTAGTGGTAGAACGCCGGCTCGCCGCTGCTGCCGTCGCCCACGTGGCCCCCACACTCGTCCACCCCTGCCGGCAGCGCTCCCCCCGCTCCCCGCGGGCCGAAGAGCGGAATGCCGTCCGCTAGGAAGCCCAGCAAGGGGGAGTGCGAGGAGGGGGTGTCCTGCCAGAAGGACGCGCTGCCAGGGGGAGGGGGAGGGGGAGGGGAGGAGGGAGAGAAGTGAGGATGGATGGTTGGGATGCGCGGAATGGTACGAGGTGAATGGCATGAGGTAGTGGATGGCAGTGGATGGCAGTGGATGGCGCATGGAACATGGATGGCTATGGAAGGAGCAGAGGTTGCACGTGGAGAACGGGGGAGCAGGAGAACAAGGAAGCACGGAAACGGGGGAATGGGACGACGCAGTTGCAGAGCTGAAAGTCGGTGGAGCGAGAGGAGGAGATGGCAGAGGGGTTGGCGACGCCGGGAGCGACGTGGTAGTGGTACTGGCCCGAGGGCGTGGGGTGCCCTCCAAACGCGTCAAACGTGGAACACTCGTACTACAGCGCGTCCCGACCCAGGGCGTCACACGCACTGCGCGGGGGAGAGGGAGAGGGAGAGACGGGTATGGGATATGAGGGCGTGAGGTGTGCAGGGAGAGTGATGAGGGCAGGGGCGAGCAGCAGAGCAGCATGGGGGCGTGGGCACGGGGAAGCATGGGCGGCACAGTGGGGAATGAGATGGTGCACAAAATCAAATGTCAGCCGGCCAAACTCCAAGTCCTTGTGAGGCCAGTACCCCCTTCTGTCATTCCCGCCCTTGTGCTGCCCTTACCCTGTGCTACCCCTGCACCCTCCTTACCTGTAGAAGGGCATGCCGTTGAGCGCGAAGCCGATGGGCCCCATCTTGCAGACACCGTTGAGGGCGACGGGGATGGCGGAGGAGGCGAGCGTGGGGGCGAGCGGCACGGCGAAAGACAGTGCCTGCTGCACTGGCGAGTACAGCGTGGCCTGCACTCGCCATGCGTACCCCGGGCACCCGTTGCTTGACATCACCCTGCCATCACAGGGCAGGGGGAGCAGAGCAAGGGGAAGCAGGGCAGGGGGGAGAGGGCAGGGGGAACAGAGCAAGGGGAAGCAGGGCAGGGGGGAGAGGGCAGGGGGGACACGGTAGGGCGAGCAAGGCAGGAGGGCTAGGGTGAGGGAAAGGAAGAAGGGGGGCCAGAAGAACAGACATGAGCGGACGAAATGGCTTGAGCGGGCGTGCAGAGTGGCAGAGAAAGGAAGAAGGGGCCCACCTCTTGCCATTGCTGCTCGTGAGCTTGGCGCTCCTGCTGCTGCTGCTGTTGCCACACGCACTCCCACCCGATGACCCACTGCCACCCCCCATGCCTCCTCCGCCGCCCATGCCTCCGCCGCCCGTGCCTCCGCCACCCATGCCTCCCCCGCCCATTACCCCTCCGCCCATGCTTCCTCCGCCCATGCCTCCCCCACCCATGCCTCCCCCGCCCATGCTTCCTCCGCCCATGCCTCCTCCGCCGCCCATGCCTCCCCCGCCCATTCCCCCTCCGCCCATGCTTCCTCCGCCCATGCCTCCCCCACTCATGCCTCCCCCGCCCATATTTCCTCCGCCCATGCTTCCTCCGCCCATGCCTCCTCCGCCCATGCTTCCTCCGCCCATGCCTCCTCCGCCCATGCTTCCTCCGCCCATGCTTCCTCCGCCCATGCTTCCTCCGCCCAAGTTTCCTCCACCCATGCTTCCTCCGCGCATGCCTCCTCCGCCCATGCCTCCTCCGCCCATGCTTCCTCCGCCCATGCCTCCTCCGCCGCCCTTGCCTCCTCCGCCCATGCCTCCTCCGCCGCCCATGCCTCCTCCGCCCATGCCTCCTCCGCCCATGCCTCCACCGCCAATGTTTCCTCCGCCCATGCCTCCCCCGCCCATGCCGCTTCCGCCCATACCTCCCCCGCCCATCGCCCCTCCGCCCGCACTACCTGGTTGTCCACTCACCCCGCCACCTCCTTGTGAGCCAAACCCGCCCTGCCCGCTCTGCCCACCGCTCGTCGCGCCACTTTCGCCTCCGCCGCTGGTCTGGGGGTGGCGGAAGAAGGACCAGCTACCGCTTGTTCCCGTTCCCCCCACCAACCCGCCGATCCTTCCCGCGAAACGCGGAAGGCCGAGCGAGCGCGCGCTGCACGCGGCGTGATCGACACCCGCGAAGCAAAGGAGCGCGACGAGCGTGAGGGCGGGGACGACGCGACGACGCGAGGCGAGGCGCCATCATGGCGGACGGCGCCATCATGGCGGACGGCGCGGACCGCTAAAAGAATCGCGCGTATCTAGAAAAAATTCCGGGGAGAGTAGATCGAACCTCGAAACGTCGAGTTGAATGCAAGGCGAATGCAAGAAGGCTGAGAGGCAGCGCTGAGGAATGCTCCCAGCGAGGTGGCTATTTGTACTTCCCCTGCCATCGCCGCCGCTGCCATGCGCCCAAGACACTCGACGTGCACGCATTAGGTAAATCGATGCGTTGGTTGACTACAGAAACGAGCAGTAGGATCTGGGAGTCAACACGAACCCAGTCAACGTTGAAAGGTTGGGAACGGAACTGTTGACTGAGGCTTTGGCGAAAGTCGGCGAGAGGGTCAGAGAGTCATCGCCCTCGGTGAATTTCATTTTTTCATGTGTGGTATTGTTACGGAAGCAACGTATGGTGTGGAGGTAGTGTTATGAGTGCAATTGAGTGAGCTAACTAAGATTGCACTATCTAAGCAAAACAGTACATTGAGAGAAGGAATGAGCGAATGTTATATAGCGAACTAGCGTGGTAACTGTAACGTGTGAGGTGCATTACGGGCCTAGCGCCGAGGTTGGAAATTGTCGAGGCGGAGGACCGGAGAACGGTTTTCCAACCGAACGGTGGGGTTGGGTCGCAATGTAAACAGTGGCGGGAACAGTAGTGAGGCGAGCGTCGCGAGTGGTAACGGTGCACTGTTGGGTACTGTTGGCGGGAACATGTTAGAATATATTTGTAACTGCCTGTAGCTGTAGTTAGTGTAGTTATTATAAACTTGTTGGAGGTGTACCTCATTGCATGTTTGTCTTGCCTATGTGTACCTTCCGAACTACAGTGAAACCCCTTCTTTTGCCTAAACTCTCTCGACTCCCTTTGGCCTAGGCTACTAAGCCTAGGCCCTACTCTTTCTATTCAACAGAACAGTCGTGTACGCGGTAGGCAAGGGTGCGAAGTTATGAATATGAAATCTCTTTACACTACCCCACTCCCCAAGGAGGTCTTATTTACGATAGTGTGCGATATCTCGGAAATTATGGCAGTGCAATTACTCGGTGAGGACGGGGTGGTTCTCAATTTTGTCCAGGGGCACCCAGTTGTCTTCCGTGGGTGTGCGGCCCTTCCTGCGAATCAGGAGCGCGTTCCTATGGGCTTCACGTGGGTCACAGACTTGGTGGCTCTATATCTTTTCATGTGTGATGGCGGGCTCTGTCGGTGGCCGAGTCATGCTAGAGGGGCGGTTGCGTGGCAGTTGACTAGTTGACGAAACATATGGGCGGAGGAGGCTGACGTGGAACGACGGACTGAAGTACCAGACAGCAAGTAGGAGGAGGTGGGTAGTGACTGTCAGAATGTGATGTTTGTGTAGCCTGCAGTGGGGTACTCTATAGCGAGTACAGCCCGAATTAGGGTTTGCTATATGTACTGAACTGCATGCTAGTGAAAACCCTCTTTTCTTGTTTCTTGATTTGCCTAGCCTTTCAACATGCTATCAGAGCAGGTCGACCCTCCTGGGTCGATCCTGTGGGTGGGTCCCACCCGATGCTTCCGCTGCTCTACTGCTTGTAGCGCGCCCCGGGTGCGTGCTGTTTCCTGCCTGCCGCGCGCTCCGGGCGCGCAGCAATTTTTCTTCCCGCCACGCGCCCTAAGGCGCGCGGCGGTTTTCTGCCCCGTCGACGCAGTTCCCCCGTCTGGGGCGAACATAGTCGATGGCATGTGGATTTTCAGGGTGAAGCGGCCGCCGGGTTCTCCGCGTTCCTTCAAGGCACGTTACGTTGCTTGAGGCTTCAGTCAGCGACAGGGGGTCGACTACTTCCAGACCTTCTCCCCCACCCCGAAGATGACCACTCTTTGGGTGTTGCTGCACGTCGCTGCTCTGCGTGACTACGAGTTGCACTCTCTGGACTTCAGTACAGCTTTCTTGCAGGGCAGCCTGCATGAGGAGATCTGGCTTCGCCGCCCACCTGGCTTCACTGGGTCGTTTCCTGTATGTACCCAGTGGAGCCTCCGGCGGCCAGTCTACGGTCTCCGCCAGGCGCCTCGCGAGTGGCACGACACACTGAGGACTACACTTGTGGCTCTGGGGTTTAGTCCTTCTACTGCTGACACGTCGCTGTTTCTACGCACCGACACATCACTGCCGCCCTTCTACGTTCTCGTGTACGTCAACGACCTGGTCTTTGCCACTGCTGACACTGAGGCACTGACCCTTGTGAAGTCGGAGCTGCAGAAGAGACACACCTGCACTGACCTGGGTGAACTGCACAGCTATCTTGGCTTGCAGATCACTTGGGACAGAGCACGGAACACCATCACCCTGACTCAGTCACACATGGTGCACCAGGTCCTTCAGCGCTTCGGCTTCCAGTTCTCCTCGCCACAGCCCACTCCTCTGTCTACCGGCCACTCGCTCTCACCTCCACCTTCGGACGAGTCCGTAGAGCCGAGTGGTCCGTACCCAGAGCTTGTGGGTTGCCTCATGTACCTGATGACGTGCACACGACCTGACCTCGCGTACCCTCTCAGCCTCCGGGCTCGCGACGTGGCTCCCGGTAGGCACCGAAAGGTGCACCGGGATGCTGCGAAGAGGGTACTGCGTTACTTGTGCAGTACGTCGGGCATGGGGCTCGTGCTTGGAGGACGGGGTCCAGTTGTCCTCACCAGTCACGCAGACGCTTCCTGGGTTGACGACTCAGCTACGCAGTGGTCGTCACAGGGTTACACCTTCAGCCTCGGTTCCGGCTCTGTTTCCTGGCGGTCTACCCGCTCATCTTCGGTTCTCAGTTCCAGTTGTGAGGCTGAGATCTACGCAGGGGCCATGGCTGCATAGGAGTTACGCTGGCTCACCTACCTGCTGACTGACTCGGGAGAGCAGCCTCGTTCGCCTCCATTTCTGTATGTAGACAACAAGGCCATGATTGCCTTGTGTCAGGAGCACAGACAGGAGCACAGAATGAAGCACATCGCTCTGCGATGCTTCCTTGCTCGAGAGTTGCAGCAGCGTGGCCAGCTTCGTCTTGCGTACGTGGCCACTAGGGCCAACACTGCTGATATATTCACCAAGGCACTTCCGCCTGGTGATCATCAGCGCTTCTCTACTGTGTTAGGCCTTGTGCCTACTTTGCCTCACTTGCTTACTGCGTGGATTTGCTTATACTGTGATCTATATATATACCTGCATGCTTGCACTTGCTAGGGTATGATCACTGTATTGTTTGCTCTTTTTTATATCACTCTGCATGTGAACTGGCCTTGTGGCCCTTTGCTTGTGCTCGGACTGTGTGGTGACTTTGTGATCCACCGTGAGCTTGCTTTGTCCTTCTTGACTGGTCTTGTGACCACTTGTTCTCCCCCACTTTGCCTATGGGGGTGTGTCAGGATGTTATAGTGCTTACATTTGTGTAGGCTATAGTGGGGTAGCCCATAAGGGGTACAACCCAATTAGGGTTAGTACTTGTAACCAAGTCTTTGCTAGTTCATCCGTTCTCGTTTATTATTCTGACAAGAGGCGCTGCTGCTGGAGCGGGGGCACTCCGCCGGCTGCTGCTGCTGCTGGACCCCTCCGGCTGTTGCTGCTGCTGCTGTTGCCGCTGCTGCTGATGGTGTTGCTGCCGCTACTGCCGTTGCTGCTGTCGATGCCGCCGATGCCGCTGCTGCTGCCGGTGCTGTCGCTTCTGCAGGTGCTGCCGCTGCTGCGAGGAGAGGGGAGAGGGAGAGGAGGGAGAGGGGGGAGAGGGGGAGGGGAAGGAGGGTGCAGTCACGGGTGCGGATGGCACGGCTGCCGCTGCTACCGCTGATGTTGCTGCTGCCGCTGCTGCCGCGGCTGCCAGGGATGATGCTGCTGCTGCTGTTGCCGCTGCTACTGGTGCTGCTCCCGCTGCTGCTGCTACTGCTGCCGCTGCTGCTGCCGCTGCTGCTGCTGCTGCTGCTGCTGCTGCTCCTGCTGCTGCCGCTGCTATAGCTGCTGCCGTTGCTGCGAGGAGAGGGGAGAGGGAAAGGCGGAGGGAGAGGGGGAGAGGGAGAGGAGAAGGAGGGTGCAGTCACGGGTGCAGCTGGCACGGCTGCCGCTGCTGCCGCTGATGACGCTGCTGCCTGTTGCTGCCGTGGCTGCCAGGGATGCCGCTGCTGCTGCTGTTGCCGCTGCTGCTGCTGCTGCTGCTGCTGCTGCTGCCGTTGCTGCCGCTGCTGTAGCTGCTCCTGCTGCTGCGAGGAGAGGGGAGAGGGAGAGGCGGAGGGAGAGGGCGAGAGGGGGAGGGGAAGGAGGGTGCAGTCACGGGTGCGGCAGGCACGGCTGCTGATGCTGCCGCTGATGTCGCTGCTGCCTGCTGCTGCCGCTGCTGCCGGGGATGCCGCTGCTACTGCTGCTGCCGCTGCTGCTGCTGCTGCTGCCGCTGCTGTTGCTGCTGTAGCTGCTGCCGCTGCTGCGAGGAGAGGGGAGAGGGGGATGCAGGCACGGGTGCGGTTGCCAAGGCTGATGTTGCTGCTGCAACTGCTGCTGCTGCTGCTGCTGCTGCTGCTGCCGCTGCGGCCGCTGCTATTGCTGCGAGGAGACGGGGGGAGAGGAGAAGGGAGAGAGTGGAGTCGCGGCGGAATGCGCAGGGGGGGGGGGGGGGGGCGACAGGGTCGCGGGGCCGGGGTGAGCAGGCAGCGACGAGGTGGTCGCGGCGGAAACGGCGCAATCATGGCAGGAAAGGGGAAGGGAGGAAGGGAGTCGCGGTGGAGGGATGCGCAGGCGGCAAAGTGCAGTCGCGGCGGCGGGAATGGGAGGCGGCGACGGTGCAGTCGCGGCCGTCGAAATCGCGGGCGATGGGATTTGCGGCGGAAATGGCGGAGATCGCGGCGGCGGTATGTGCAGGCGACGACGGTGCAGTCGCTGCGGCGGGAACCGCAGGCGGCGAAAAAGTGTCTGCGGGGAGGGAAAGGGCAGGCGGGGACGAGAGGTCGCGGCGGTGGGACAGGCAGCCGGCTACGAAGAGGTCGCGGCGGCGGGACAGGCAGCCGGCGACGAAGAGGTCGCGGCGGCGGGACAGGCAGCCGGTGACGAAGAGGTCGTGGCGGCGGGACAGGCTACTCTCAAGGGTGTACATGCTCTTGGTGAACCGGATGGTGGGCCCTTGGGAAAAAAAAAACTGGAGGGGGAGGAGGTTGCCTTAGGAAGGACTTAGCTCTATACCATGTGAAGAATTGAAAAAGAATGATTAGTTCCATTAGAGGGTAGAAC